AACAGTCCAAACAATTTGTTTATCCATTTGATTTGTCTGTCTATTTGTGCTGTTAGTGTTGAGTGAACCTGTATCTAGTAAAATTACGGTTTAACCGAGCATTAATTTTAGAATAGAAAAACTTTTTATTCTATTTTATAATTATTGCTCAATGAGATTTGGGCTTTTGTGTTTTTACTGGACTACTGCTATTAGGAATAACGAGGCCTGGATCATACCCCACCATGCATGCATGCATTACTTGATATTTAGCAAATTTAGACATTATGTTTGTTACAAAAATTGAAAGATTCATTTATTGTTCTGCACGTTATAAATTTGCAGCCATTACATTGTAAGTACACAATAATAATCTCTATTTAACAACATGGGAACCAAATTTTGAAAAAATTGCTGAAGATTTATCGCAACAAATATTCCACTAAATTTTGTTAGAAATTATTGTAGAATAATTTAAATTTTCTTTATCGTTAATTATAATTATTTATTTTTAGGAAATGTAATTTATGCATGACTTCTGTGATTTTATATAATATACTTATCAAATAATAATAAATAAATGTATGTACCTAATTAACTTTATTATTATTTACGCAAAATAAGTAATTCACTTTTAGTTATAGTTAGTTAGAATTTTTATGGCACTCAGTTATAAGGGTTATAAGGGCTGTATACATCTAATGCAGTAATTATAAAATTTACATACAAAAATATATGGGGTACTTGAGAAATAACTAATAGGCTAATAGGGTACATCAACAAAAAAAGTTGAGAACCACTGCTCTAATGAACTGTTTACCTCAATCTCTGTAATTATCAACATGTTAATAAACTTGTTTTTGAATACTAGGTACTAGTTAAAGCAATTAAATTCTTAAAAGTATTCAATTCTACACCAGACCTTGTGTCTATATGTCCCCTTGTCATAAGATCTTTGTATCTCTGACAAGGTTTGAAATTGTTCTTGGGATACAATTTATCACATTCTGGCCGACAGTTACATGAAGACGATTTTACCCATTTATATACAAGTGGAATCCCAATTTGTGCTTTATTCAGGTTTTCATACCAAAAACTTTGTCCATTTCTGCATTTGGAAGGTTTTGGATTTATAGTAAGATTTAACAGAGAAAATCTTTCTGAAGGATTTTTTCTATTTAGGCAGGTTCTACTGATAAGTGCATCTTCCAAAAAAATGTTTTAGACAAATTCTCTTTCAATATTTATAATTATATAAGATTGCAATTTGCAACTTAATGTATAAGGAATTTTTGCTATAAATTGAATAGGATATTTGATACCAGTCTCTTGAATTAATTTTCTAACCACTAACAGAAGTATGCACAATTTTTCAAACAAATATTGATAATTTATTATAATAATATAATACATTATATGAATTATATCATTAAATATGAATAATATTAGCATCTATGTATTTTACAATAGTAAAAAGATTATTTCTAATAGTGTAAAATTAAAAGTTTTTATGATCTTTACATATTGTTGTAACTTTGTTATAACTTTCAGATATCTATAGTTTTATTGCAATTAACAGATATCTAACATTTATAATTAAATTAAAAATACTCATTTTCTATTAAATTATAGAACAAGCAAAAGAAAATGTTCCAACTGAGAAATTGTGTACAGTGTGTATAAATAATGAAAAAGGTAAAATTTAAATTCTATTAGGATTAAAATTCATCATTAATCTCACAAATTTTATTTAACATTTGGAATTTTTATTATGCCAAATCAGGAAATAACTATGAAATGAGTTAATAAATAACAGTCATATTAAATNATAGAAAAACGTAGTTATTACAAAATTTGTAAAGAAAAAAAAAATGCAAATTAAATGAATTGTGCAATACAGGACAGAATTATTGTAAAATAAATTTTTTTCTTTTAAATATCAGAAATGTATTTGTTTATGTAAGAAAATATTATCATTATCTGTTGCAACTAAAAATTTTATTTTATTCAGAAATTTATATCTAGTTTAATATCAAACTGATTACAAAGATATAGAACTGAACATCATCTTTTCAATAGATTTAAAATATGTTTTCAGAAAAAAATTATTTATGGATTAGTTAATGCATATGTTACAATAACAATGATTAACTGGTGGTTATGTATAATTCTGAAATTAATTTGGTAAGTTTGATAAATATCACTGAATATATTACTTTTAAAGCAATTTTGCATAATTTTCAAAATGTAGTTCATAAATTTTATAAATATCATGAAATTNTGAGACAAATAGAAGCCTAAAAGGTTGACTCTGCTGTATGACTTTGTTCCTGAGGTGTGAAAAGGATGATGAAGAATCGGTGTTTTCTTCTATTAACTTCACGTGAAATTTAAAAAAAATTTTTTGTAAATTTTGGCAAATTTGAATATATTACTTTCAAAGAGATTTTCACATAATTTCCAAAACGTAGTTCATAAATTTCAAAAAACAGTGTCATGATATTTCCCACCTTTTGTTGTTTTAATAAAGTAACTTATGGATTTAAACAAATTTAGTAAAATGAATCAAAAATAAATTTTTTGTTTAATAATATTAGAACAATTTGATGAATATATGGAGACAGAAAAATCTCCTTCAGCTTAATATTAAAATTATGTATGGAAAAGTAAAAAAATTTGTTGGAAAAAATATAGAACTCTAATAATACTTATTGCTTGTTCAAATAAAGCAAACAATCATGACATTTTGAGTTACATAATTTTTTATTTTCTTTTTGCATTTGCATTTAGTTGAATTACACTTTTCTTTACATGAGCATCTTTGGTACCCATGATCTCCTGAAATTGATGTTTTTCTTGCACACTCTCTTAGAGACAGAGTGATATTTGGTATAGTACATTCTCTACTGTAGAAGTTGTCACAAAGCATAAACTGGTTTCTGATATACAATTGTGAAAAACCCTTTTTTGTTCTCAAGTGATAATAGTACTCATCATTTTCAGTAGATAATATTACTGCCAATATATTTCATGGATTGCCTCTTGCTCTGTCCTCATCTAGTATTCTTGGCTTCACTGTATCTTCTATTTTGGCTATAGCAAATTTCAGCTCTGATATTTTCTTTGCTTGAACTTCTAAACCTGCCTTTATGTTCACTCACTTCTTCTCAACTTCTTTTCTCTTCTTGATTATAAAAAGACTGATCACATCCATACTAGACTGTACTTTAGCTGAAGACCCAGAGATTGTCATATCAGATGGCTGTTCACTTTCAATACTTTTTCAGAAATATTTTCATTGGATCCTTCTAATTGACTTTGATTTTGATGTAGTGATTCAATTACTTCTTGTAGCTCACTCAACAAGAAATAATTGAATCACTACATCAAAATCTCTTCAGTGCAAACATCTGCTACAGCATCACCAGGAAGGATGATGTCTTCAACTCAACTTTTAGGGGTGAACTAAACATCACTTTATAAAGACTACACTTATTCTTTATGAGATGCACAAACCATAATCCCTCAATCCATTGCTGGTTTGGTTGTTTTCTAACCAAGAGCTTAGCATGTACTCAACATCCTAGTTTGCACATTCAATGGAACCTTGACACTGACTATGCCTCAGTTTGCGATTATGGTTTTCAGCTCAGTCCACATTGCATAAGTTTCTTCTATAACTTGATTAAAGAATTCATGACCATTGTCACTTTGTAAAATGCTGGAGACCTCAAAAATTGTAAAATTATCTATCAACACATGGGTCACTTCCTCTGCACATTTCGTTTTCAAGAGATGAAGCTGAACAAACTTTGCAAGATGATGGACTGCTTGTAAGTTTTGCATAGAGTTTAATAGTTCGTTTCATTATACTTGGTTAGTTTTTAAGGTAACAGACAGTCAACACTGCTAAGAATTTTGTAATGCTTAATGGATCTGGTGTTAGTATGGTTGTTAAGTTTATCTAAAAATGGTATAAACACTGTCACATTGTAATATTCTTTTGGTGACTCAATTTTGACATTGGTTTGGTGTTGTTACTTCTTAATTAAATCTTGGAACACTGAGAACAATGTCATGATCTTCCATAAGAGATTTTGTTTTCTCAAATATGTTACTACAGAATGCTACATTAACTGGCTCACTCATGTTTTCTTTAGTTCCTTTATGAAATTTTATATAAACAAAGCCTGTAAATAAGCACTATAATATAGGAGCAAATGTTTTCATCTGTATTGAACAGTCATCATCAGGCTAAGTGATCTTCACAGTTTGAATGTAGTTGTTAAAACAAACAATTTGAACAGAAAAGTTACTTGGTACAGGTGATATGTCACCCCTCCTTTAGCAAAGAGAATTGCAATCAAAGAGTTTGAGAAAATTGATTTTGGAGAATATTTTTTAGAACAAATGTGAAAACTTGACTCCTCTTCCAAGAATGTTTGTGATGTCTAGTGTGACTTAAAGTATTAGGGCAAGTCAAATGAAAGTGAGCCAACATACATAATTTATTTGTCAGTGTACTGTATATATTATATACTATGAAATATAGCATGTTGTCACATCTGAATCAGTTTAGTTGTTCTATTTTTAAATATTGTAACATTTTATAATTTTAAGTGTACATGTTCAAATTTTAGCTTTGCATTTTATTTATATTTTTAATGTATTGGATATTGCCTGCATTAGATCAAAGACATTGCAACTTTAAAGAAATTATATGTATATTAATCTATTAATAATTTCTATTATAGTAAAATAATGAATTCATATTTTAAGTCAAATAAATGTCAAAATGTTCTAGAACTTTTTAATATTTTGTTTTAGAATAAAAATTAAAATATCTATTTTTACTGATCTCTTTAATCTAGAAATATAAAAATTTTGTAACATGTACAACACAAATATTACTTAAGAAAAATAATGTTCATTTTAAATTAATAAAAAATTATCTGTGTCTACAATAATGTTAATTTTAATTAAATATATATATAAAATATTAAAACATAAGTAATACTCACTTTAGGCAATGCAGAAAAGTAAGGAGCCAAAAATAATAATACAATTAAAAGCAATAAACAGGATATGAAATTTGCAAGCTAAAATAAAAAGAAATTTGTTATTATATAAAAATAAAATTATTTTAGTTAAATAAAGAAAATATTAAAGAAAAACACATTTATATAGAATTACAATATAAAATTAAAATTCTAGACTGTAATTATTAAAATGCAATAGTTTAAATATTTACTTTAAAAAATTCAAAGAGAGCATTTTTAGTTAGATGTATATAGAAATGAATATAATCACTATGTTTGTTAATTTAAATAATTTAGTGGAAAATTTTCAATAAGAAAACACTAACTATAATGTAGTTTGTAGCTGAACATCAATCGTTTAAATGTTTTAATTAAATATATATTGTACATAAAATAAAAAATAAAAAATATGTAGAAGAAACTAAAATGCTGTCACTTTTCATCATGTCTAATCACCAAGAACAACAGTCTTCCATTGCAGAGATGACCTTTTACTAGAGGCTACACCTCTGCAAAATATGCAAAATAGTTTAAAATGTTCATCAATGAGAAGCCAATAATTAAAAATACAGTTTCAATTAAAAATGGCTAATGATATTTCACAGTAAAAAATGTGTAGAAGAAACTAAAATGTCTTCATTTTTTGTCTCTGTAATGGAAGACTGTTGTTCCCAGTAATTGGACATGATGAAAAGTAAAGACATTTTAGTTTCTTCTACATAATTTTTACTGTGTAAACATTGCAGCCATTTTTAATTGATATATATATATATATTATATATCAATTAAAAATGTAGGGTCATTACAGCCATTTCATTCCAAAGTACAAATGACATGGCCTTTATATATATTTTGATATCTAAATTTATTGAAGTATCTGTTTTTTAAGAAATTTCTTTAGATACTAATTAAAAAGTACTTTTCATACTTTACATTTTACCAACAGTAAAATTCAGGGTCAGAGTCGCCGGAGTTGAAAGAATTTTACAGACTGACTCCACTCTAAAATGTCCAACTCAAGCAACTCTGATTCCACAATACTGCTTGGGACCCCAGGCAATTTGCTCCTTTTGCTTCCTTCTGGGCATTTATAATTGATGTTGGTGTTAGTCCAATAGAGACTGTTTCATTTTGTGTGGCATTTGTTTGATAATTTTTTTAAATTAATACACAACACATATGAAATGATCTAATTTAAATTTATAAAGTAATAATATTATAAAAATATTTTGATTACTTGAGTCTTTCCTCCAGCTCTTTCTTGTACCAAACTTCTTGATAATGATGTTGCACATGGATAACAGAGAAAAAATGAAGAGAAAATATTAGCTGAACCTAATGCTATTAATTCCTAAAACAAATAAAATTATAATGTATAAATATATAATAATATATAAATTATAATGCATATTTATAATCCAAAAATGAATATATTTATAATATTTATTTTATGAATATAATAATAATAATAATTAAATTTATAATTATTTCATAATGCTTTGATAATGATGAAAGGTCATGCTAACAACTAACTTATAGGATTTCAAAAATAATTCATTAATAAAGTTGTTTTCTTATGAAAGTATTTTTTTTTCCATAAAATTATGTAAAACTTTATTTGTTAGTGTACACATTAAACATGTTACAGCTGCCTGTGATACCACAAATCAAGTAAAGGAGGAAATTTGCTCCTGAAAAGGCAAGGCCCTATATTAGAATATGCTTTCCTTGATTTCAATAACTATGGTACATGTACAGAGTGAAACTGATGCTAAAATGTTGATCAAGTTGTGACCTGTTATGCTGCAGCTTATAAAGTATAAGTGAGAATTAACCACTCAGCAATGACTGACAGCTATATCCATCAAGGGCGATCATGTGGCACTGGTGAATGATGGATAATGAACTGGTGAATATCGCCAAAAACTAGTCAAAAGCTACCGTGAAAAAAATTCACATAAAAAAGGAATTATGTAACAATAAGAAAAGACTTTTCTTTACTAGACATAACTGTTTACAAAATCTTTTTCTGAAACGGTAATGAGAAAAAAATGCACGGGAAAATACTTTAAAAATTTCCCACATTTATTCTCCACTATATAGGGATAACACCATACCTGACTAACCCACAGATGAAATGTTAAGCATTTGGTACAATTGTAAATAATTGATTAGTTTATTATTCAAAGAAAGACAAGCAACTAAATTAAGCCAACTGTTTTTATTATATTCAACAGAATCAATAAGTTTTGGTAACTTCTACAGAAATTTTATTTTGGTAAGTTTTTTACTTTACTAATTGAGGAAAATCTTTACTAATTGAGTATCAAAAATTGGGAAAATGATATTGAAAATTTATTCCGTTGTAAAGTGTAAATTTCTATTGAAATTGTAAATTTATGTATACAGTATTCAATATGATTATACATTTTAGACTTTACAAAAAATGTGTTAGACAGTTATAAAAAAGAATGTCAAAAAAATACTTTAAATATAAAATTACTCAAAAATGAAGCACAATGCAGTTTCATTTTCAAGTCATAAAACTGCAAGTACACTTTCTCTAATACAGGAAGTATGCAAGGAAGCCTACTTCTTCCTGACATGATGTATATGCTGGGCAGCCTATCATCTGGTACAGTATATAGGACATTGTCTCAATTTTGTTCTATAACTTTTATTAATTTCTTTTTATTGATATTGGCAAAAAAGAAGCACTAAGTCACAATTTTTCACTTATAATATAAATGTCCATGCAAGTATTTTCTTCTATAAAGCTTAAACCCTTTGAGTACAATTTTGCAATCAACTAGATATTATATAAATGCAATTTGTAAAAATTACTAAGAATGCAATCAAAAATTCATTACGATGATTGATTCACAGATATATATATATATATATATATACACTATATATAAATTCAAAAAAGTTTATTTTTAACTAAAGGAGTTTTGAAAAGAAATGAGGTTGGAGATCTTCAATGAAATAGAAAACAGGAATGATGAAAATGAAAGTTCTGATGAAGATGAAAGTGATGTAGTATTGTTTCAATTATTTTACAAATTTTTAAAATTCAAATTGTTAAATTTTTATATGCAAATAAAATTAACAATAAAAGACTGACTTATATTTGGGTCCTAATTTTTTTAAAATGTAAGAATTCCAAAATTGGGAGTCAACTTATATTCAGGCCAATACAATCTATTTATGGTTGCATAGATTATTTATGATTTTCAATAATTGAACTGAATTATTTCAAATTATGTTTACCTGGTTAGGATTAATTTCATAATGATGTTTTTTTGCAAACAATTTGGCCATTGATAAAGTGATGGCAAATACAACAATAGCAATAGAAAAACTATCTGCAATTAAATTTGGAAATAAATCTATTCTTGGGACTTCAGGAGCAGGAAGTCTGCAGAGAAAAAAAGGAAATAATCTAAATANATTGCTGATGTCAGCATTAACAATATGGTGATCTTTTATATTCAATGCACTAGTATGAATATTCATAATAAGTAAAAAGTGATACTTTGAAAAAAAATAATTTAAAAATCCATTTTTATAAAAGCATTCTCTTTTAATATCTTTCAGCTTTATTTTAATTTTTTATGTAATATAATGGATTATTTTGAAGAATATGTCATTTGTGTTAAAAAATCTAATTACAAAAGAATTCCATTAACAGAGGCTTCAGCATTCCTTGTTCTGTTAAGAGAAAATAATATACTTTAGTCCCAGAAGAGTGATATTTCTGGAACAGACTAAGTTATAGTCATTTTTATTCCCTTGATTAGAAAAATTTCTTCCCAAATTTGACCTATATTTTATTAACATTTCTATCATTATTCTAAATGATTATCAGATACTTACAACTATAAGATCAATAGGAATAGGCATGATCAATTTACTTCTAAATCTATCATTAACATGGTCCTTTACAACTGCTAACGAGAAAAGAGAAATTGCTGATATCAGGAGTGTTGTTAAGTTTGTATATTTCAGATTTTTAATTATATCGATGAATGTCTGCAAAATAAAAAAATTTTCATATTAATCTAAAGCATAATTAAAATTTATTATTTATTATTAGTTACACATTAGCTGAGATATTTTAAGAACAGTTGACATGGTTTGAAACAATTGTATGTTGTTATTCATAATTTAGTCACTTCCAATAAGATAACTGAATGATGATTTTTGGATAATCTTGTATATAAATTTATATGTATATATAAAAATTAACAACAACATTTACCTTGATTAGTTGTAATGGTCCATTGTATCTAGCAATTTTGATTCCAAATAAATCTTTCAGTTGGGACATTGATACGTGTATAGCAGCACCCGTAGTAAATCCAGAAATAAGTTGATCAGATAGAATGACATTTAGAATTCCCAATCTAAAAGCTCCCATTGCAATCTAAAAATATAAGTATTTAAAAGTTAAATTTCAACTAATATTTTCTAATTTATTTTTTAAAATAATTAAAAATGATTGAACTGTATAATATAGTTTTAGAAATGCATATTGATATTTAATTAATATATATTTCTGAAAATACCTGCCAGAGTCCCACAACAACAGATGCTGCTACAACAACTTCTAACTTTGTAGGAGGCCATTCATTGCTGTGCTGAATATAGGAATTGTCAGCAACTTCTGCAGATATGGAATTGTTGCTTATATTTCTAATTAAGTTTGCAGTTTGTCTGCTATCGACTGTTTCAAATTTTGCCACTGTATTACTAAGCATTATAGACAAAATAATTTAAATAAATAAATATATGTTATTAAAATTAAAAACTAATTTTTGAAATATTTTTGCCTAACATGTTTGTCCCATAGAGTATGACTTTATATTTAAAATATATTTTAAGCATATATAAATAAATTTATCTGTAAGTCCACATAGTTTTAAAAAATTATTCATAAAGAATAATTTTTTAAAACTATGTTGTTTAATTGCTTAGTATTTATACAAAATATACATTTTGTATAACATACATTTACATAACATACATCTATACAGGAAAAATTTTTCTGTATAGATAAATATTTCTTCAAACTTAGAGATAATGTTCTACTGGGCATGAAAATGTAAAAAAAATTGTTTTAGAAACATAGTTTAACAACTTTTCTAAACTGTGTTTGCGTTAGCTGAAGGAAATGGTAACTATTGAATTTCATTATGTATCTCAGTAAGTGCAACATATGATTGTAAAGAATGTATTTATGCACAAAGTATTACAATAAATACAGGTAACCTCCGTATAACATGGGAGTTATGTTCCAAAAAATTGCCATGTTATATGAAACAAAGAACTAGTATAAAAAGGGGGGGTTAGGTTCCAAAAATTAAAAAACATGCTATTATATTTTCATAATTAAGATAAATATCTTTATTAATATTTTTTTAAGTGATACACATTAATATAAATTAAACAATGTTTTCTTCATCACATCATTTCGTCATTAACCGAGGGCATTTTCTTTTTGGCAAGATATACTTATCCTCTGAGCATTTTTCTGCATTATCTTCAGATCCATGCTCTACCTTTTGCAAAAAATATGCTATTTTAGATTGCTTGCTTTTAGTTAAAAGATCTTTATAAATTTCCTTATATGGTGCAAAGCACTTATGAAGAATAAAGCAAGTATAGAATAAGGGAAAAACATCTGTCAACACCAAAAGCAGAAGTGTCAAGATCTGGCAACATTGAAACAAGTTTCAAGAAGGATCACATGTATCGACAGAAGGTGGAAAAAGAAAATTTACATACTTAAGTACTAATAGTTCACGAAAATTATGCAGGAAAATCTGATAGTATGTATGTGCTTGAATGAAAAATGTCAAATGAGGTATCTTTCGCCCTTAAAAGCTTTATCACGTTTATTGAACTGTTGTAAAGAGATTTTCCTAATTTCAAATTAGATAAAGTTCACTTTTAATAGTTTTTATTACTGTACATTTCATGTTGTATGAGGGTTTTTACCAAATTCTCGAACCGTGTTAGAGTGAATCTGTGCTGTAAAAGCACCGTGTTATATGGGGATGATCTCAATTCTCGAACCATGTTAGAGTGAATCCATGCTATAGAAGTGCTGTGTTATATGGGGGTTACCTGTATTTGAAATTATCACTGTAAGTAACAATACAAGTTTTACAGCATATTCTGAAATTGCTGATGTCAGCATTAACAATATGGTGATCTTTTATATTCAATGCACTAGTATGAATATTCATAATAAGTAAAAAGTGATACTTTGAAAAAAAATAATTTAAAAATCCATTTTTATAAAAGCATTCTCTTTTAATATCTTTCAGCTTTATTTTAATTTTTTATGTAATATAATGGATTATTTTGAAGAATATGTCATTTGTGTTAAAAAATCTAATTACAAAAGAATTCCATTAACAGAGGCTTCAGCATTCCTTGTTCTGTTAAGAGAAAATAATATACTTTAGTCCCAGAAGAGTGATATTTCTGGAACAGACTAAGTTATAGTCATTTTTATTCCCTTGATTAGAAAAATTTCTTCCCAAATTTGACCTATATTTTATTAACATTTCTATCATTATTCTAAATGATTATCAGATACTTACAACTATAAGATCAATAGGAATAGGCATGATCAATTTACTTCTAAATCTATCATTAACATGGTCCTTTACAACTGCTAACGAGAAAAGAGAAATTGCTGATATCAGGAGTGTTGTTAAGTTTGTATATTTCAGATTTTTAATTATATCGATGAATGTCTGCAAAATAAAAAAATTTTCATATTAATCTAAAGCATAATTAAAATTTATTATTTATTATTAGTTACACATTAGCTGAGATATTTTAAGAACAGTTGACATGGTTTGAAACAATTGTATGTTGTTATTCATAATTTAGTCACTTCCAATAAGATAACTGAATGATGATTTTTGGATAATCTTGTATATAAATTTATATGTATATATAAAAATTAACAACAACATTTACCTTGATTAGTTGTAATGGTCCATTGTATCTAGCAATTTTGATTCCAAATAAATCTTTCAGTTGGGACATTGATACGTGTATAGCAGCACCCGTAGTAAATCCAGAAATAAGTTGATCAGATAGAATGACATTTAGAATTCCCAATCTAAAAGCTCCCATTGCAATCTAAAAATATAAGTATTTAAAAGTTAAATTTCAACTAATATTTTCTAATTTATTTTTTAAAATAATTAAAAATGATTGAACTGTATAATATAGTTTTAGAAATGCATATTGATATTTAATTAATATATATTTCTGAAAATACCTGCCAGAGTCCCACAACAACAGATGCTGCTACAACAACTTCTAACTTTGTAGGAGGCCATTCATTGCTGTGCTGAATATAGGAATTGTCAGCAACTTCTGCAGATATGGAATTGTTGCTTATATTTCTAATTAAGTTTGCAGTTTGTCTGCTATCGACTGTTTCAAATTTTGCCACTGTATTACTAAGCATTATACTAATAATTGCAAAAGTTCCTGAATAATAAAAGTTAAAAATTGATTTATTATATGCTATGAAAAATTTGAGATAATAAAAAAAATGTTAGTTAAAGAAATAAAAATATATTTTAATAAATGCACAAATGCATATTTTAGATAAATTTAAACTTAGCAAAATATGACTTTTATTTTGTTTTTTTTTTTAAATTAATATATTGAAAAATAAATTTATGTTAATCATTTACTAACTTACCAATAGATATATGCCTTGAGGTACCCATTAAACAATATATTAATACTGGAAAGAATGAAACATAAAGCCCATTTATAGCATCTACTGATGCTAGCAAACCATATGCCATTCCTGAAAATAATAAATTTGAGTTATCCTTAAAATTTTTATAGTCACTTATCAAAAACTAATTACAGCAATTTCACAAATCTTGGCCAGTCTATAAAAATACTCTAGCAGGGACCAGTCTATTTACTTAGTGAAGGGAATGGATTGTTGATGAATCTTTGACAAGGTTACTGTGACCTACCAAAAAAAGTTCTTTAACTTCTTAAAACTTCTGGGGTCCCAACCAAGTACCCTGTGTCACCTGGCCAAGATATATGAAATGATCTGTATATTTCTGATTTAATTTATATGAGATATAACACCAATCCAGATATTTTTTGATCACAAGTGCAGAAGTAATCTAATGTATTGAATATTGTATATTTTTTAATAAACTTTTCGTTTCTTAAAAAATGATTTGAATTTTACAAATGAATGAACGTCAATATTGCAAACACTATATGTTCAGTATAATATATTCATTACAATTATTTACTTTATTCTTACAGAATATTAATGCTTTTCTCAGTGGTAGTTTTAGTTTTGTGCAAGACCCTAAGCAAGCAATACTTGTAAAGCTTTTTCTATTTAAGATAAAACAGTCACATCCAGAGGAGGGTAAAGGAGCCCTGGCACACTCCAAAGAAAAAAAGGGAAAGAAAAAAGATTAGAAAATTTTCAAAAATCTTTTCCTAATTAAAATTCATTTCTTTATTTATATTGTATCATGTCTTCTATTTCTATACTTATGAATTAGTGGTCATATAAGGTATGAATTTCATTGAATTCACATTAAAAATTTTCTTATCCATTCAACCTGACTCATCCCAAGATTAAATCCTTAGTTTGTATAATGTGGTATCTGGACTTCAATATAAACAATTTAATGTCATAACATCAACTTTGTCAACTATCTGTCAACTTTCCCACCTGGGAGTATGTCTTCTTTTAAGTTCTCAGCATCAATAAAGATGTTTTCTTGCGACTTTCTGACCTGCTGTCCCAATTTCCTCATTTTAATATAACAACTAGCTACAAACTATTGACAATCATCGCCAGTTCCTCAACCGGGTCACTTGTTTCTGTGTCTCCAATTTTGGATACATTCAGATACTTCATTTTATTATATTGTTGGATACATCGTTTTAATTATATCATCGGATACATCATCCTTCTTGCTTGTGGCCATACTATCCACTGTTGACCTCTGAACTAAGAACTATCATATAGAACTTTCTTCTTTTTGACCCAACTGGCAAGCATCCGATCTCCAAATCCTCTACAAGGTATTTATCCTCTGCACGCTCTAGTGCAAACTCTCTCTCTCTCTCTCTCTTGCAACCACATCTATATAGTTGTTTTGATATAATATGTATCACGAATCCTTTTTTCCCTCTTTTTACAAATAAGATGATTAATACGGTTATTTCTTTTGTTAACTAGAATCCGAGTGAGTCACTTCCAACCCACTGTCTCACGGTCTCCATCCTGAATCCGATTGCCCATGCATGTGACCTATTTTTAAACAAACCTCACTGTTGCGTCTTCTGGATCAACAAGACACTGTGGTGTCAGTACTGACGAGGCACCAAAGACCCTCTGGTCACAATAATTTAAACCAACATCATAGTGGCAGATTATTGCACAGATACAATACAAGAAGTGCACACTTAGAACCTCCAAAAGTTAGCAGCTTGAAAAAGAGATACATTCTGCAAACCTCAGGCACAGATACTATCTTCAACAAGACAATTTGCTGTAAACAGCAGATTAAAAGTTTTTACTACTTAATAGCTGACAAATAAAATTTTTTTGACCATCTTAAGTAATAAGTAATATTTAAAATTCTTGGTATGCTTATGTACTTACTCTCCAATCAAATATGCACAGTTGATCTCTCTCGCTAACTGCAATCTGTGTGAATAAATGAAAAAGCTTATAACTGCTTGTATTTGGTGCAGTTGGTATATTTCAATGTTTTTTTTATTGTAAAAGGAAACATTATAAAATATTCATGTATAATATCTTTGTTTATTGTACTGTATACAATATAAACTGTTTTATTGTAATGGGTATGTATGTGTGAGTGAGTGGCAAAATTCTGTTCTCCCAATCTGAAGCTTAATAACTCCTGTACCTTTTGATGAAATTTCTGAAATTTTGTAGTTTGTGTATTAGGGACATTGATGCTATTAAACTTTGGTGGTTAAAAATCAAGGGCATGGGGAGATAGAGGGGATCATGTGTCATATCTCAAGTGTTGTTGGACTTAATGGAGATTTTACTCATTATTATCATTTACAATTTTGTTTTCATAAAACTCTCAAAATTAAACTTTTGCCATTTTATAATAATAATATAAAAAGTTCTTAGAATAAAATCTCATAATAGATGGCACCACATCAATGGCATAGTGAACATAACTGGCACCTGGGACACAACACTATATTGGTGCACCCCTCCCCCTTCCAGAAACAAATCTTGTTTGTCTTGGAGACCATTTGGTGCCCCTCTGCGAGTGGCACCTGGGGCATAATAAGACCCCTTGCCCCCCTTGCTACGCTAGTGGGTCTTCTTTCCATACTCCTTGATATCTCTGTCTTCTCCTTCCCAGCTCTTCTCCTCAAATGACGATTTTTCCCCTTTCCTCTCGTGCCAGTCCCCTTTGACCAATCCAGTGTCACCCCCTATTCTCTAGTGACCCATCGGACCATTGGGTCAACCAATTTATGGTGAGGTCAACAGAACAAACGACGGAAGTGAAATTTATGAAGGGAAAATGGTGGAAGAAAGAGAAAAAGAGAGAAAAAAAAAACAAGGCCTAACAAGCCACACACTGACAATTAGATAACAAATCATTTAGCTTCAATAATGCTTGCTCACTTGGGAGTATTTAAATCAGAATCACAAATCACATGTAAACAAAATAAACAACTGCACGAGAAGTATCGAATGTGAACGAGCTAGTGCACTGCCTGTGCACACCACTCATTCCATCTTGCTCATTCGCAAAGCGCGGTCATGATCAAGATTGTTTGATATGAATTGGTTTATTTTAATTTTTAAATTTAATAATTGGCGATTTTGCGCCCTCCTTTGAAAAGTGCCCAGGGCACATGCCCTACTTGCCCCAACCTAGCTACGCCTCTGCACCACATACACTTTTAAAGTTTGCATGGGAAAATTATGTAACTTGTTGCTGGATTTTCTATATTATAGATATGTTTAATATAGAATTTAAATAACAATATATGCATTTCTTTAATGACACAGTATAGCTTAAATGCATTATGTTATATCATTTATGTTATAAATATTAACAAAAACTTTTAAATCAGCAATTATCAAACATTTTCAAAAACTTATTTTTTTGGCTATTTTTAATACCTTTTATTGGGATTTTCTAATTTATATTCCATTATCATTTAAAACTGTACCATTTTATAGAACAATCTGATGAAGGCTATTAAAAGTAGTCAAAAACAGTAGATATGCATTAATAATTATTGATTTTTAACAATTTTTTGGTGCTTTGTTTGTTAATCAGTTATGTAAGGTTACATAATTAACAACTTATTTTACCTTGAGGAATCTGTAAGACAGCAAGCGTAAATCCTGCAATTATATCACTGAAAATATATTGTTTAAATGGATATTTAGGCAGCCAAACTAAAATAGGAAATAATGAATATATACATGAAATAGGACTGCATCTGCAACATTTGGCAATCTAAAAAATAGAAATAATAATTAAGACAAAATTTTAGATTAAAAGTATAAGTTATTGAAATTCTATTTAAATATTTTTAACATAAAATGTACAACAAAAGATATATCTTTGAAATAAATATTAATAAAATTAAAAATGATTATAAAATGATGAAATAATTATGATGAAAATAAAATCTAGAATAAATAAAATTTAGATCTTTAGTTTGAGTATTTATTGTATTCATTTCATTTTTTAATTCATTTGGTTATTATTAAATATGGAAGAAATAAGCCCAAATAAGCAAATTATTATAACCTCAAAAGATCTATTACGCAAACTCTACTAATTTAATTTTACTAAAGTTAATTTCATTAACAAATCCTAAAAATATACATTTGTTGAGAAAAATTTATGTATTTCTGTAATGTACAGTACTTCATTAGAAAATAGAATTTGAACATTATAGAAATATGTCTTTTTTAGTATTAAACACAAGATCATGTTATTAATCAAACACATGGCCTCTTTTCCATCTTTATTTAATTTATTTTGACAAATTTTTAATATTGATGTAAAAAAGAAACTGATTTCTCATGAATTCCATATACTGTAAAGATGTATTTTATGAAATATTTAAATATTTTTACTTATTTTAAATAGATAATTATTACTGTACCTGTTTTACTACAGATTCTCTCTGTTTATGTGGTTTACCATATTTCTTACTTATTTCTTCTTCATCAAAAATATTTCGTTTAATAGAAATACAACTTTGCACAGATTCTGTACTATGCCGTTTACTAAACTTTTGGTTTTTTGCTTCTGCAGAGTACAATTTTATGTCTGCATTGTTTTCTTCAATACTAAGTGCAAGATTGTCAAAATATACTTTTCCACNTGGTGCAAAGCACTTATGAAGAATAAAGCAAGTATAGAATAAGGGAAAAACATCTGTCAACACCAAAAGCAGAAGTGTCAAGATCTGGCAACATTGAAACAAGTTTCAAGAAGGATCACATGTATCGACAGAAGGTGGAAAAAGAAAATTTACATACTTAAGTACTAATAGTTCACGAAAATTATGCAGGAAAATCTGATAGTATGTATGTGCTTGAATGAAAAATGTCAAATGAGGTATCTTTCGCCCTTAAAAGCTTTATCACGTTTATTGAACTGTTGTAAAGAGATTTTCCTAATTTCAAATTAGATAAAGTTCACTTTTAATAGTTTTTATTACTGTACATTTCATGTTGTATGAGGGTTTTTACCAAATTCTCGAACCGTGTTAGAGTGAATCTGTGCTGTAAAAGCACCGTGTTATATGGGGATGATCTCAATTCTCGAACCATGTTAGAGTGAATCCATGCTATAGAAGTGCTGTGTTATATGGGGGTTACCTGTATTTGAAATTATCACTGTAAGTAACAATACAAGTTTTACAGCATATTCTGAAATTGCTGATGTCAGCATTAACAATATGGTGATCTTTTATATTCAATGCACTAGTATGAATATTCATAATAAGTAAAAAGTGATACTTTGAAAAAAAATAATTTAAAAATCCATTTTTATAAAAGCATTCTCTTTTAATATCTTTCAGCTTTATTTTAATTTTTTATGTAATATAATGGATTATTTTGAAGAATATGTCATTTGTGTTAAAAAATCTAATTACAAAAGAATTCCATTAACAGAGGCTTCAGCATTCCTTGTTCTGTTAAGAGAAAATAATATACTTTAGTCCCAGAAGAGTGATATTTCTGGAACAGACTAAGTTATAGTCATTTTTATTCCCTTGATTAGAAAAATTTCTTCCCAAATTTGACCTATATTTTATTAACATTTCTATCATTATTCTAAATGATTATCAGATACTTACAACTATAAGATCAATAGGAATAGGCATGATCAATTTACTTCTAAATCTATCATTAACATGGTCCTTTACAACTGCTAACGAGAAAAGAGAAATTGCTGATATCAGGAGTGTTGTTAAGTTTGTATATTTCAGATTTTTAATTATATCGATGAATGTCTGCAAAATAAAAAAATTTTCATATTAATCTAAAGCATAATTAAAATTTATTATTTATTATTAGTTACACATTAGCTGAGATATTTTAAGAACAGTTGACATGGTTTGAAACAATTGTATGTTGTTATTCATAATTTAGTCACTTCCAATAAGATAACTGAATGATGATTTTTGGATAATCTTGTATATAAATTTATATGTATATATAAAAATTAACAACAACATTTACCTTGATTAGTTGTAATGGTCCATTGTATCTAGCAATTTTGATTCCAAATAAATCTTTCAGTTGGGACATTGATACGTGTATAGCAGCACCCGTAGTAAATCCAGAAATAAGTTGATCAGATAGAATGACATTTAGAATTCCCAATCTAAAAGCTCCCATTGCAATCTAAAAATATAAGTATTTAAAAGTTAAATTTCAACTAATATTTTCTAATTTATTTTTTAAAATAATTAAAAATGATTGAACTGTATAATATAGTTTTAGAAATGCATATTGATATTTAATTAATATATATTTCTGAAAATACCTGCCAGAGTCCCACAACAACAGATGCTGCTACAACAACTTCTAACTTTGTAGGAGGCCATTCATTGCTGTGCTGAATATAGGAATTGTCAGCAACTTCTGCAGATATGGAATTGTTGCTTATATTTCTAATTAAGTTTGCAGTTTGTCTGCTATCGACTGTTTCAAATTTTGCCACTGTATTACTAAGCATTATACTAATAATTGCAAAAGTTCCTGAATAATAAAAGTTAAAAATTGATTTATTATATGCTATGAAAAATTTGAGATAATAAAAAAAATGTTAGTTAAAGAAATAAAAATATATTTTAATAAATGCACAAATGCATATTTTAGATAAATTTAAACTTAGCAAAATATGACTTTTATTTTGTTTTTTTTTTTAAATTAATATATTGAAAAATAAATTTATGTTAATCATTTACTAACTTACCAATAGATATATGCCTTGAGGTACCCATTAAACAATATATTAATACTGGAAAGAATGAAACATAAAGCCCATTTATAGCATCTACTGATGCTAGCAAACCATATGCCATTCCTGAAAATAATAAATTTGAGTTATCCTTAAAATTTTTATAGTCACTTATCAAAAACTAATTACAGCAATTTCACAAATCTTGGCCAGTCTATAAAAATACTCTAGCAGGGACCAGTCTATTTACTTAGTGAAGGGAATGGATTGTTGATGAATCTTTGACAAGGTTACTGTGACCTACCAAAAAAAGTTCTTTAACTTCTTAAAACTTCTGGGGTCCCAACCAAGTACCATGTGTCACCTGGCCAAGATATATGAAATGATCTGTATATTTCTGATTTAATTTATATGAGATATAACACCAATCCAGATATTTTTTGATCACAAGTGCAGAAGTAATCTAATGTATTGAATATTGTATATTTTTTAATAAACTTTTCGTTTCTTAAAAAATGATTTGAATTTTACAAATGAATGAACGTCAATATTGCAAACACTATATGTTCAGTATAATATATTCATTACAATTATTTACTTTATTCTTACAGAATATTAATGCTTTTCTCAGTGGTAGTTTTAGTTTTGTGCAAGACCCTAAGCAAGCAATACTTGTAAAGCTTTTTCTATTTAAGATAAAACAGTCACATCCAGAGGAGGGTAAAGGAGCCCTGGCACACTCCAAAGAAAAAAAGGGAAAGAAAAAAGATTAGAAAATTTTCAAAAATCTTTTCCTAATTAAAATTCATTTCTTTATTTATATTGTATCATGTCTTCTATTTCTATACTTATGAATTAGTGGTCATATAAGGTATGAATTTCATTGAATTCACATTAAAAATTTTCTTATCCATTCAACCTGACTCATCCCAAGATTAAATCCTTAGTTTGTATAATGTGGAATCTGGACTTCAATATAAACAATTTAATGTCATAACATCAACTTTGTCAACTATCTGTCAACTTTCCCACCTGGGAGTATGTCTTCTTTTAAGTTCTCAGCATCAATAAAGATGTTTTCTTGCGACTTTCTGACCTGCTGTCCCAATTTCCTCATTTTAATATAACAACTAGCTACAAACTATTGACAATCATCGCCAGTTCCTCAACCGGGTCACTTGTTTCTGTGTCTCCAATTTTGGATACATTCAGATACTTCATTTTATTATATTGTTGGATACATCGTTTTAATTATATCATCGGATACATCATCCTTCTTGCTTGTGGCCATACTATCCACTGTTGACCTCTGAACTAAGAACTATCATATAGAACTTTCTTCTTTTTGACCCAACTGGCAAGCATCCGATCAAATCCTCTACAAGATATTTATCCTCTGCACGCTCTAGTGCAAACTCTCTCTCTCTCTCTCTCTTGCAACCACATCTATATAGTTGTTTTGATATAATATGTATCACGAATCCTTTTTTCCCTCTTTTTACAAATAAGATGATTAATACGGTTACTTCTTTTGTTAACTAGAATCCGAGTGAGTCACTTCCAACCCACTGTCTCACGGTCTCCATCCTGAATCCGATTGCCCATGCATGTGACCTATTTTTAAACAAACCTCACTGTTGCGTCTTCTGGATCAACAAGACACTGTGGTGTCAGTACTGACGAGGCACCAAAGACCCTCTGGTCACAATAATTTAAACCAACATCATAGTGGCAGATTATTGCACAGATACAATACAAGAAGTGCACACTTAGAACCTCCAAAAGTTAGCAGCTTGAAAAAGAGATACATTCTGCAAACCTCAGGCACAGATACTATCTTCAACAAGACAATTTGCTGTAAACAGCAGATTAAAAGTTTTTACTACTTAATAGCTGACAAATAAAATTTTTTTGACCATCTTAAGTAATAAGTAATATTTAAAATTCTTGGTATGCTTATGTACTTACTCTCCAATCAAATATGCACAGTTGATCTCTCTCGCTAACTGCAATCTGTGTGAATAAATGAAAAAGCTTATAACTGCTTGTATTTGGTGCAGTTGGTATATTTCAATGTTTTTTTTATTGTAAAAGGAAACATTATAAAATATTCATGTATAATATCTTTGTTTATTGTACTGTATACAATATAAACTGTTTTATTGTGATGGGTATGTATGTGTGAGTGAGTGGCAAAATTCTGTTCTCCCAATCTGAAGCTTAATAACTCCTGTACCTTTTGATGAAATTTCTGAAATTTTGTAGTTTGTGTATTAGGGACATTGATGCTATTAAACTTTGGTGGTTAAAAATCAAGGGCATGGGGAGATAGAGGGGATCATGTGTCATATCTCAAGTGTTGTTGGACTTAATGGAGATTTTACTCATTATTATCATTTACAATTTTGTTTTCATAAAACTCTCAAAATTAAACTTTTGCCATTTTATAATAATAATATAAAAAGTTCTTAGAATAAAATCTCATAATAGATGGCACCACATCAATGGCATAGTGAACATAACTGGCACCTGGGACACAACACTATATTGGTGCACCCCTCCCCCTTCCAGAAACAAATCTTGTTTGTCTTGGAGACCATTTGGTGCCCCTCTGCGAGTGGCACCTGGGGCATAATAAGACCCCTTGCCCCCCTTGCTACGCTAGTGGGTCTTCTTTCCATACTCCTTGATATCTCTGTCTTCTCCTTCCCAGCTCTTCTCCTCAAATGACGATTTTTCCCCTTTCCTCTCGTGCCAGTCCCCTTTGACCAATCCAGTGTCACCCCCTATTCTCTAGTGACCCATCGGACCATTGGGTCAACCAATTTATGGTGAGGTCAACAGAACAAACGACGGAAGTGAAATTTATGAAGGGAAAATGGTGGAAGAAAGAGAAAAAGAGAGAAAAAAAAAACAAGGCCTAACAAGCCACACACTGACAATTAGATAACAAATCATTTAGCTTCAATAATGCTTGCTCACTTGGGAGTATTTAAATCAGAATCACAAATCACATGTAAACAAAATAAACAACTGCACGAGAAGTATCGAATGTGAACGAGCTAGTGCACTGCCTGTGCACACCACTCATTCCATCTTGCTCATTCGCAAAGCGCGGTCATGATCAAGATTGTTTGATATGAATTGGTTTATTTTAATTTTTAAATTTAATAATTGGCGATTTTGCGCCCTCCTTTGAAAAGTGCCCAGGGCACATGACCTACTTGCCCCAACCTAGCTACGCCTCTGCACCACATACACTTTTAAAGTTTGCATGGGAAAATTATGTAACTTGTTGCTGGATTTTCTATATTATAGATATGTTTAATATAGAATTTAAATAACAATATATGCATTTCTTTAATGACACAGTATAGCTTAAATGCATTATGTTATATCATTTATGTTATAAATATTAACAAAAACTTTTAAATCAGCAATTATCAAACATTTTCAAAAACTTATGTTTTTGGCTATTTTTAATACCTTTTATTGGGATTTTCTAATTTATATTCCATTATCATTTAAAACTGTACCATTTTATAGAACAATCTGATGAAGGCTATTAAAAGTAGTCAAAAACAGTAGATATGCATTAATAATTATTGATTTTTAACAATTTTTTGGTGCTTTGTTTGTTAATCAGTTATGTAAGGTTACATAATTAACAACTTATTTTACCTTGAGGAATCTGTAAGACAGCAAGCGTAAATCCTGCAATTATATCACTGAAAATATATTGTTTAAATGGATATTTAGGCAGCCAAACTAAAATAGGAAATAATGAATATATACATGAAATAGGACTGCATCTGCAACATTTGGCAATCTAAAAAATAGAAATAATAATTAAGACAAAATTTTAGATTAAAAGTATAAGTTATTGAAATTCTATTTAAATATTTTTAACATAAAATGTACAACAAAAGATATATCTTTGAAATAAATATTAATAAAATTAAAAATGATTATAAAATGATGAAATAATTATGATGAAAATAAAATCTAGAATAAATAAAATTTAGATCTTTAGTTTGAGTATTTATTGTATTCATTTCATTTTTTAATTCATTTGGTTATTATTAAATATGGAAGAAATAAGCCCAAATAAGCAAATTATTATAACCTCAAAAGATCTATTATGCAAACTCTACTAATTTAATTTTACTAAAGTTAATTTCATTAACAAATCCTAAAAATATACATTTGTTGAGAAAAATTTATGTATTTCTGTAATGTACAGTACTTCATTAGAAAATAGAATTTGAACATTATAGAAATATGTCTTTTTTAGTATTAAACACAAGATCATGTTATTAATCAAACACATGGCCTCTTTTCCATCTTTATTTAATTTATTTTGACAAATTTTTAATATTGATGTAAAAAAGAAACTGATTTCTCATGAATTCCATATACTGTAAAGATGTATTTTATGAAATATTTAAATATTTTTACTTATTTTAAATAGATAATTATTACTGTACCTGTTTTACTACAGATTCTCTCTGTTTATGTGGTTTACCATATTTCTTACTTATTTCTTCTTCATCAAAAATATTTCGTTTAATAGAAATACAACTTTGCACAGATTCTGTACTATGCCGTTTACTAAACTTTTGGTTTTTTGCTTCTGCAGAGTACAATTTTATGTCTGCATTGTTTTCTTCAATACTAAGTGCAAGATTGTCAAAATATACTTTTCCACTTTGAAAATTATTTTCATTTTTATTCATGTCTTCACAAGCCATATAAATTTTATGCTCTGAATCATTTGGAATTTCCATATTACTATTATACTGAGGTGGACTACTGAAACTGAAACTACCATATCTAGTGGTTTTGCAAACATCTTCTGAATGTTGTTCATCTGCTGTCAAATTTATTTTATTTTCGTCATTTGCAGAAAAAGAATTTCTTGATCTAGTAGATGATAATTTCTCTTCTTCATCTTGGCTATTTCCTTTAATTTCTATAAAGAAAAAAATATTCAAAAATATTAGCTTCTAAAGATTTATTATAAAAATAATAAATACTATTACAAATAATTCTGTGCAAATACTATACAAATAATTTTATTTTGTGATTCATGCAACAAAAATAAATATTATGGAAAAACAGGAATTCAATTATTGTTCTGCCATTGCATAATGCTGTTTGATTAAATAACATTTAAATTATTAATTATAAATTATTATTTGTCATAAAATATTTCAATATTAAATTTTTAGATAATAATTAATAAATTTTAAATTAAAACTATTAATTTAATAATAAGCATCATATTTCTGAAGCAAATTAAAATTGGAAATTAGCAATAATAAATAAACTGATTAGTTACTAATTTATATATGTCATTGCTTAAAATGGATAAACAGAGCTGCATAAGAACAAAAAAATTTAAAACATCAAAAATTAATTCAAAACTTTGGCTTGACAGATTAATGATATTACTAAAAGTGCAAATATTACTAACATTACTTACTAGTCTTTTCAGTCTTATAGTATAAAATGTTCATTTAATAAATTCTTCCAGTTAAAGTTAGATTATAATTAAATTTAAAAATTTCGGAAATTCAATATACAAAATTCTGGAAAATATAGAAGTTTCTCTTAATTTAAACAATAATCATTTCTGAATTATCCAAAATATATTTGACATTTTGACCTCCAAACAAATTGTTATAAAACTTCAGGATTAACATCTAAAGTAAAAGAATAATGCAGTATCATTGTAGGCTATTGTCAATTTTATGAATTAGCATTTTTATAACACTTCATTTTTTATAGATTTATTCTAAATGATGCTGAAAAATGGCATAAACAAAGTATATTGGATTAAAAAGTATTATTAAATGTATATATTTTTTAGTAATCTGTAACCAGCTTTTATATAATCTAATATCTAATTTATATTTAAATACTTTCACATGTTACATATTTAAAACATTTATTCCTGGATCTACATTTTAAAATTATTTTAAAACCATCAAATTTTAATATTTCTTAAAGCAGCAAATTGAAGCAAATAAATATAATTGTCACCTGGAATATCATGGAATAGTTATAGATTGATAGAATTAACTGTCACATTTCTGGCACCAATATAGCTCTTTCACACAACCAGATAAAGTCTTTTTAGTGAAAACTGAAGTTAGTAAATACCTTATTTATTAATTCATTAACACTTTGGACTACTGTACTAATTTTAGATATAATGACTTTATTGTCAAAATCTACAGGAAATTTTCCTTCAAGTTGTAGCAAATTCTGAGCAAATATATCTGAACTATAGTCACAATAAATTGTTGCTTACATGTTAGTGGTAAGCTTAAAGATTATAACATTGTGCCACAAACAGGAAGATTTGAGACATGCTTGAATTTCATCAGTTTTGGTTCTTTTAGGTATAACTGGCAGGATTTGGCAAAAATCTCCAAAGAAGACAACAGTTACACTGCCCATTAGTGTTTTGTTATTTCTGACATCTTGTATAGTTTTATTCAAGGCTTCCAATACCCGTATTCATTTCATTTTTTAATTCATTTGGTTATTATTAAATATGGAAGAAATAAGCCCAAATAAGCAAATTATTATAACCTCAAAAGATCTATTATGCAAACTCTACTAATTTAATTTTACTAAAGTTAATTTCATTAACAAATCCTAAAAATATACATTTGTTGAGAAAAATTTATGTATTTCTGTAATGTACAGTACTTCATTAGAAAATAGAATTTGAACATTATAGAAATATGTCTTTTTTAGTATTAAACACAAGATCATGTTATTAATCAAACACATGGCCTCTTTTCCATCTTTATTTAATTTATTTTGACAAATTTTTAATATTGATGTAAAAAAGAAACTGATTTCTCATGAATTCCATATACTGTAAAGATGTATTTTATGAAATATTTAAATATTTTTACTTATTTTAAATAGATAATTATTACTGTACCTGTTTTACTACAGATTCTCTCTGTTTATGTGGTTTACCATATTTCTTACTTATTTCTTCTTCATCAAAAATATTTCGTTTAATAGAAATACAACTTTGCACAGATTCTGTACTATGCCGTTTACTAAACTTTTGGTTTTTTGCTTCTGCAGAGTACAATTTTATGTCTGCATTGTTTTCTTCAATACTAAGTGCAAGATTGTCAAAATATACTTTTCCACTTTGAAAATTATTTTCATTTTTATTCATGTCTTCACAAGCCATATAAATTTTATGCTCTGAATCATTTGGAATTTCCATATTACTATTATACTGAGGTGGACTACTGAAACTGAAACTACCATATCTAGTGGTTTTGCAAACATCTTCTGAATGTTGTTCATCTGCTGTCAAATTTATTTTATTTTCGTCATTTGCAGAAAAAGAATTTCTTGATCTAGTAGATGATAATTTCTNGTAAGCTTAAAGATTATAACATTGTGCCACAAACAGGAAGATTTGAGACATGCTTGAATTTCATCAGTTTTGGTTCTTTTAGGTATAACTGGCAGGATTTGGCAAAAATCTCCAAATAAGACAACAGTTACACTGCCCATTAGTGTTTTGTTATTTCTGACATCTTGTATAGTTTTATTCAAGGCTTCCAATACCCTTTTATGGACCATTGTACATTCATCCTGGACTATAAGTTCATATTTTTTTAAATACCTTTCTCATACCTGAATTTTTGATAATATTACAAACAGCTTCATCATTAGTAGCTAAATCAAAAGGAAGTTTGAATGCAGAATGAGCTGTGTATCCTCTAGGCAGCAGTTTAGCACCTAGACCAGAAAAAGCTACAGATAGAGCAATTTTATTTTGTTTGCAAACTTTTGCCAGTAATAAATTTGTGACAAATGTTTTTCCAGTATCACAAGGAACATACAAAAAGTATATACCTCTGTTCTTCTGAGAGATGTTATTCATTATAGTTAAGTAAGCAATTCTTTGATCAGGCAACAACTTTCCTCATTTTCATTTACATATTAATATGATGTTTTTCTTATAAGATTTGTAAGTAAATTGCTGACTCCTGTTCTATTGGTTTATGGAAGACTAAATAATGGTAGTGATACAATTTTATCTTCTATGTCAATTAAAATTCTGTTGTATATTTCATCTGTATAAAATACATCAATATTTGGGTTGGTACGTTGTACTTGGCACATAGTCATATGCCAAATTGTGTTTATATTTGTTCCATAATTCTAAAGGATTTTCTACATTACAAAATTTTAGGAGAATAGCAGGTAAATCTTTTAGCTGCTTTGGGAATTGACTTATGGCTGCTTCTATTAAAGTGGCATCCCATGGACTATCATTTTCTAGCAATCCTTGTTTATAGCATGCCTCTCTAAATGTTGCACAACAATTGCCATCAACTGTTTTAAAATCTTGAAAAGATTTAGGCTTTTTAACTTCATGCAACAATAATCTTAAAAAAATACATTCATGTTGAGTAGGATGAACAGTATAAACTCTGCCCAAAGCATTGTCAAATTTTATACCTTCAATGTCTCTTTCTCTCTTTCTTCTATTCCATTTTTTGTTGCTCCATGTGTAATAAGATGGTAACTGATAATATAATAAGGTTGAGCAAATATATCATCCTGATATAGTTGAAAGTTGTAAGAGTGGTATTTTTAGGATCAAGCATTTGTTGGGTAGCTGTTTCATTAGTTAAAAATAAATGCTGTCCATTTTCTAAATGAACTGTTGATTGCTATACTGCTGGATATCTTTCATGAATGAGAAAGCTGAAAATTCTCCAAAAGTCTTTATTGCTGCTTATGTAACAGCCTTGTTGATAGTGATTTCATCATGTATATTCTGTAGTTGTAGAGCAAACATAGTTGCATCTGATCCCTTGTTTATTTGATAGATTTGACAGAATTACAAAATTCTACATTTATGTGAGCATTAAATGTTTTAATTAACAGAAGGCAATAAGGAACTATCTATCTGTTAACAATTTCATAAAGTCCAATTCCCATTGTAAAACCTCCATCATTGGGTTTTCTTTTTCGATATAAGGAATAAGTCACATCTTCTCCAGTCTGAGTGTCTTTTATAAATTGTTTTGGATTTTGTACATTTATTGTCTTTCATACAAGTTGAATAAAAATTCAGAAACCACAAGGACCATGCACCATTTGAGTTTGAATTATTTGACAGAGTTCTTTGCATTAGAGTCTGGAAGTTCAAACAAGATAACGGAATCAATTTGATCAGCCAAATCAAAATATGAGCATGAGGCAGTCCCCTTTTTTGCCATTCGATAGTGTACAGTACATATGGCAATAATAAAGAAAACTTAAGTACGAATCCGTCTTATTTGACGTCGATGTAACATTTTTGGTCATACGTATACGGCAAAAAATGTTACATTGACGACAAATAAAACGAATTCGTATTTACTTAAGGTTTCTTCATTATGAACTGTATTTTAGAATATTTAAAGTCTTCGGAAAACGAAGAACAATTGAAAGCATTGAGCAGCAAACGACGTAGAATCAGACGAATTCACATTCGGTCTCCACTGTTTAAAAAGTTATAACTAACACGTGTACATGACGTCTTCAAAGGAGGCGACACATGTTAGCATGTCTCAGGGTACAGTACGTTCATAAAGTCGAACGAGTTAAACGAGAATGACGTCATCGTTATTCTTATTTCGTTAGACTTTTCGACCGATTCGTTTATAACTAAATGGCTGTTTCTAAAATCGAAGATATGAATGTTGCTAGTGCAGCCTTATCCGAAATATTTTTCTTAGATTGCTTCGGGTGGACAGTTATTTCTATCATTTCACCTTTTAATTCACAGTTTAAATACTCGAGTAGATTTAGATACATCGATATCGTCGGGCACCATTTTCTTAACGAAGTGAACTAACTCTTTCCTTCGTGAACTTCGTTAGAGTTTCGTTCGAAACGTCATCACCGCAGAGCGTGCTCACTGAGCGAGACTACTACTATTAGAACAATTCGTTACTAACGCTTTTAACTCGTTCGACTTTACGAACGTGCCCTCAGTTTGACACCTTTTACCGTCAAAAATCACAACTTTTAATGTAAATCTCTTGGGTTGTATTAGGCTATAATGACGCGGTTAGTTTTATTAATTTTTCGCCAATAGATGGCGCTACGTGTAAATCAGCAAATCAATTGATTGATTTACAAAATCCAATAGATAATTGGGGTGATATGTTGACATTATATAAGTTAGAAGTATGTAAACGCAACTGCCGAGTTTCATAGCAATTGGTCGAATGACCGAGGAGTGTATAGCGAACAAACAAACATACAAACATCATTTATATACAGTACAGTATATAGATAAATATCCTATGTATACTGTTTGTAATGCTTATGCAGAGGAGTTTTAAAAGAATGGGAGTTAAAAAATATTGTTTTCATAATATAGTTTATTAATTTTTACAATATAGGATAGTATATATATAGTGGCCGAGTGGTCAAGGTGGCAGCCTACCGCTCTGGGGGAGGGGTTCGAAGCCGGACGGGTCAAAAAATCCCCAGGAATTTTTCGGTGTTGGTCCGTTCTGATATGTCCAGCCTCTCACCACCCAGTCGCCTTATTGTGGACGTGGATGAACCCATAATGGGCCTGCTAAAATAGAGGCCCTCTTAGTGCCCACAGGACAGAAAGAGTTAACATTTTGGTACATTTCCCAAAGAAACACACCTGACGTTGACATCCACGTCTCTCATGTGTTCTTCATCCTTATTTTTCCCGTCAATATCGTATTAAAATTATATGCAATGTTTGATATTAACAAAATAAAAGCAATTCGTTCTCACTATAATCACATTAGCGAGGTTGCGGCCGAAGTTTCATCTCTAAAACGTGAACGTCGAACGTCGAGCGCCTCTTACAAGACAGCTGTGTTCGACGTTCACGTTTTAGAGATGAAAACTTAGGCCGCAACCTCGCTATTAAGTTGTGTAAAATTTAAATTTTATGTTAGTTATAAAACTTATTAAATCATTACATTAATATCTTTTAATTTTAAATTGCTTTCAAGTTTTATATCTTTGTTGGGCTGCAATTTGAAAAAATTGTAAATCTGTAAATTCTCACGTCTATATGTCTGTCTTTCCCTAATCTCGAGAAAGGTGTTAGATAAATGAAATTCATGATCAGATATGGAAAGCTTAGGGGCAGGAGGCCCCGTATATATGCGAACTTCTGATACAAACTGGAAATCATGTTATTTCAATGCAAAATTATCCCCCGAAAGAAGTTAGATAGATGACCGGCACGACTCTATTGTTAAAGAAAAAGTATGATGTGCAGGGGTAAGACACTACAATACTAATCTGAGATGGAGAGCATATATTTTAAATGAAATAAATTAAAAATGTAGCCTGACATTGTGAGGATGTTTACAACACAGGAACCAACCGGATTAAATATCAAACGAACAGCCAGATTCTTTAGCGGACTACTTAAGGCTAAGTAATTTGGCTAGAGATGGTAAAGCTCTTGATATAAAGTACCAAGCTAACATCATCTACTATTATAGCCGCCATTTTGGACCGAAGTCGTCGCTTTATACTTTTAGCAGAGTAGACAGAAACATGGAAGAATGGAAGGAACTTAAGGAAAATGATGTAACCATATGATTATTTGTACTTTTGATTGGGCGAAATGTATATATACCGATGTTAAATTAAGTTCAATTTTTGTAATTAAAATTATAATGATCAATTTTTAATATACAAAAATTGTCGAATTTATGATTGATGTTATTACATCGACCTTCGCTAAACAGCTCGTTTTTCATTGGCTATGACCACCATTATCTATTGTAAATGTTTCTACCAATGTAACTTATAGAGGAGAGGAGGGTATTATGGAATACTATTTACATTTCTAAAAATAACTTTACTGGTTTTTGAATAAAAATCCCAAAATCATCATGAGTACATACTATAACTAATTGTAATGAATTGTCACTAGTAAAAAAATGCTATTTATTTTGTTGTTATAAAAAAAAAATGTTTTAAAAAAACTCACAAATGGAGGGTAATATGGAATAGTCGGGAAATATGGAATAGATGTTTTAAACTATTGAAAAACTAATTAGACTTCATAAAACATAGTTATTCTTAACTATAAAAACCACATTTTTAAGATTACCTGCTTAGAGTCTATTTGCAAAAGTCACAGATATAATTTTCTTTCTCTGCTCTGGTACAATCAAGATGAGCCCACAGAGAACAGCTGAAGCATTAAATCCAAATTTTCCCTCATTCATCTTCGGAGAATTTTCCTTTACAGAAGATACGTTCAGCGTCTTCGTTTTCAGGTTCTTTAGTTGATGGCATGAAGTCCATTACAGATAGTACATCAGAATGGAACGACTCATCGCTGCTAACACAAGTCATCTCTAGTAGGTTTAGGTCTAGAAGGTCGGTCTAAGTTTAATTTCTTAACAGGTGGTCTTTGAATGTTCGGTTTCTTTTGTTGTTTTGAATCTTCTGGTTCCTTCTTTTTGTCCTTTTCTTTCAGTTTATCCATTTATCCTAGTATTCCATAATACCCAACACGCCATCTTGGAAAATGAACCTTTAAACTGATGGATAAAACATTGTCAGCTAAAAAACGACAACAGCATAACAAACTACAATTTTTTTAGTGTACAATTCTTTTCTTATGCTTAACATCAATGTTCAAGTCACATGTGTACTAGTAAGTTAAAATGTTTGAAAACTTGTCTGCAAAAACTCTTGAAAATCACAAAACACACTGTTCTGTAGCGAGTGGAACGACGACAACAAGCGGTTAACTCTCACTGCACTGCATTGTGGGAGTATTTCTTGAGTAGTTCATGGTATTCCCACATAATAGAAGCAACAAACAGAGCGGAAACCTCGGTATTCCATATTACCCGACTATTCCATAATACCCTCCTCTCTTCTATATTATTTAAGTAGTGTATATGTTATGGACAAAGTGATTAATCGGACATTATTCATAATGCCCGGTCATTATGAATAATGTCCGAAAAAGACCAAAAAGGGCGCGCAGTGTGATAAATATTCATTAATTTATCAAATTGACCGGTCATTATGAATACTGCTATCACGTAGTCGGGCAAAGTGATAATAATACGTTGAAAAGTGGTCATCCGACATACGCTAGCCAATTGGCACTCTGAGTTGCTGATTGTATCGTGTTGAGTTGTGTATTGCGTTTAGTACTGAATTTTAAATTGTGCGACATTTTAATTTGATTAAAAAAAACTCTACTTATTTCATTTATAAATATTTATTTTTTGTGAATTATTTCAAAGTATTTAAAAAAAACATGTAATGTTTTAAAACTAAGTACTATTGATATTAACTATATTAATTAAATGGTAAAATTTTACCTATGTGCACCGTAATGGCGGCGGTCGCAACTGTTTGTGCTCCCAACAGATTCCTCCCGGAGGGAAGCCGCCGGCAGGCCGCCAATTTGTTAACGTCACTAGATATTGATACATACTAGTTATTGACACGTGTGTTCAAGAACTACATGAATCAATATCTAGTGACGTTAAACAATACGCGGCCTGCTGGCAGCAGCCCTCCTCTAGGAATCCATCAAAAGCACAAACAGACGCGACCGCCCCAAATTCGGTACAATACACAACACGCACGCTCAACTCAGACGCGAGTGCTGATTGGCTAGCATATTTTGGATGATCACTCTTTGACGCATTATTATCACTTTGCCCGACTAGATGATAGCAGTATTCATAATGACCGGTCAATTTGATAAATTATTGAAATTTATTACTATGCCCGATTTTGTTGGTCATTATTCATAATGACCGGGCATTATGAATAATGCCCATATTAATCACTTTGTCCATAACATATATATTTTAACTCTTTCTGCATAATGTGTGTGGAAAGAAATCTAAATGTAACTTTCAATAAATACCATTAACTGAAATGTTTTTCTATTAGGCGTAATTGTTTAAATATCCTAACTAAAAAATCGTTTCATTAGGCTACATAAAAAAATCACGGATTAAAATAAAATAACAAAATGGTAAAGCTTGTCACCTGATCCTGTTTTGACCTCATTCGGTTACTTGAAACGTCGGTAAACTCAACAATAACGAAAAAATATAGAACACAAAAGAGAATATAGAGTTAACATATCAGTAAATAAAAGGAAAATGCTTAAAACTATTAAAAATTTTGATGAAAATTCTATTGGAATACTCGTAAATTCTTTAGAGCTTTTCCATTATAGTTGATAGCAAATGTCTCATCATGCCAAGAATATATTGACCCGCACACAAAAACCACAAGTAGGCTACTGAACACATGATGATATAGAAGAACAATTGAACAAATTAATCATTTTGAGAGAGAAAGAGCATTGCATTGCATCGAGCAAAATATAATATATTGAAAACAAAAATAACCAAACTAGGATATTAAAATAATGTATTAAAAATATAACTAAAAAAACTTAATGATGTAAGTAATGAAAGAAATATAAAAGATATCATGTCCTTTTGTCAAACTGGTGACGTTCGTGAAGAATGTCACCATTGAATTCGTTATGATTCAATTAAAACACTTAAAAAAGCCGAAATATAGATGGTGAAAGTCTGTCTTGAGTCATTGTATTTTTTGGTAAGCCAAAGCGCAGTAGCTACAACCATGTAAGAAAATGAAATATATTAAATTTGCTTAATCCTATTACACTCAATTAAATGATTGCCCCTGGAAGTCGGCTTTAATCTTATCGTTGTTTTCACATGCATATAAATTTGTAGTAAAATAAATAATGAGGTTATAATAAAATATTAATTTTAATTAATTCAAAGTACGTTAAAATATGAAAATAATCGCACAATATGTATTTATATTTTAGAAAATACAAGAGAAGCGGCTCTTCCACAGTTTCCATGGACGGCACGCCACTGGTATAATGCCATTTTTTTTATATGTAGGATGAATATCTGCTTTCCCTTGAAAATGGCTCTTGCCATATTTAGAAAAATATAAAAAAGTCAGGTATTGATCAAACACTGGAATTATTATCAATGGAAACATATAATGCTGTAAAATTGACTACTATTTCAACTATAGCATGAATCCGCTACCTATTGAAAGGTGGTTTTCATTGAGTTTTTAACAAGAAAATTTTGTAGTGATAATGTCGAGTTGCTATTTGGATCCATCGAACATGAGTGGAGTAAATGATCAAACAGATGCAGCAAGTACAGCTTATAGTATTTAAGAAAATCTTGAAAACTGATTTCATGGTTATATCAGACACATCAAATGGTTCCTGTTCTGGAAATACTAAAAAATTATTTACACAAAACATACAGCTATCATATAATGAAACAACGATTTCTGAAGCTACGTGTAAAATAGATCATGATCAAAGTTGAAAAATATTTTTGCAGTACTAACTGTTATACTAATTAATTTTCTAAAATATTTTTAATTCAATAATAATTTATTTTCAACACACTTCGTTTTCCTCAAAAATACGAAAAGTAAAGTTTTAGCAATGATAGGTTATCTAGAATGATAGTAGAAGAAAATTCTAATTGTTTACAATATTTCGAAATTCTTTCAACTGTTCAGACAAAATCATCTTCGATGAATTTAATTTAATTAATAAATCTTAAAAATCGGGTTACATTTTAATTAATATATTTTATGTTGTTTCTCTTGGAAGTAGATGAGAATTGTGAAAAGACCATGCCTTTTATTTATCAGCGAAAGAAGATTTTATATAACTTAACTGAAATTATTCTCCCTTTCATAGTGAAAAATGATATACTCAAGTATCCTGCCAATCTTAATAATGTCGAGCATAGAAAGAATTTGTTTACTTTTACTTACTAAATTTATTAAGCCATATTTTAAAAACTTACGCAAAATTTATAGTGATTTACCTGACTGTCACAAATTAAAATGTAAACCGTCAATTTAATTTTAAAACTTTACTACAGTACTTAACTTAAATCCTGATAAGCAAAATGGTATTATAGCCTATATGCATCGTGGCAAAACACATTTCACTACATCGGTTTACAGTTATGACTTAAAGATGTTTTATCATATTTTTTGCAATAAATCTAGGCATTAGAATATGATAGTAAACATTATTATTACTTATTCCAGTAAACAAACATAGTACTTTAAAAATACATTAAATATTTATATATTTTTAAAATGGAAATGTGTAATTTTCAATTTGTTTATATAATATTGATCTTTACTGTGTTAAATGTGTGAGCCCGAGGGTTTTGAGGGCGTAAATTTTCGAGTTTAACATATTTTGACATTAGAGGATGAAAAAAAATTATCGCAAGTTATAACGGAAATAGATCGGATGTCGAATCCTACACATCGACAAGGTAGGAAGGAAGAAAATCAAGTCATCGTCCGTTTGCTAATTAGTCAACTTGCGCGTGCTAATTAGTCGTCATAACGAGTGAACGACCAGTGCCAACGACGATCGTATAAAAACGATCGTTACGGAAAGTTCAGTGCGACCGTCTCCTCAGTGCGACCGTCCCTCCGCGCGATCATCTGGAAGGTCTGAGTACAGTGTCTCACGTCCCGGTCCTGTCCGAGGAGAAGCCAGTAGAAGACATAAGCCTGTGACCAGAGCCGGCCCTACCATAGGGCGAACGGAGCAGCCGCTCCAGGCGCTAAATCCCAGTGGGCGCCTCAGTGGTAAAAAAAATTAAAGGGTATAAATTAGGGGCAACCAAGGGGGCGCCAGAATAGGATCTCGCTCCATCTTAAAACTTGCCTCGGGCCGGCACTGCCTGTGACAGCCAGCCAGCTTCCATAGTCCAGAATGATCATCGCATACCGTCATCCAACATAAGGTATACCTGACGGCAATAATATAACTCTCTCACTCTAGAGCCTTTGTAAACTCTCTCACGCGGCATAGTGAATAGTAGATCGCCGTTATAGACAGATTTATGTGTTATCCGCATTTAAGCCTTAAATCTGTAACTTCCTTATGTAACTTCCTGTAAATTAACTTTAGTTATAGAATAAACCTTTATTTTGTTATTTGTTAAACCTGTCTCCTGTCTCTCCGAGGAAACCTGTCGACTTACCGACGCACTCCCCACTCGTTTTGCCTTCCTAGCCATCCGAACGACTCCGAGATCGGGCTTCACCAGCCTGTGCAGATTAAGTGGTCAGTACGAGATTAACCCCCGACCCACTGCTTATCTCACAAATGTTTTGTTTGTGTAACATTTACAGTTCCATTTGTTTAGATTTTAAATAAACATTAATAAATTCTTTCTTTTTTTTCTTAGTTTATTTCAGCAAATTACCTAAGAATAAATCTGATAAATTCAGAAAAGGAAAAATTTTAATATACAAAACTTTTTGGCCATAAACCAAACACAATCTGAAATGCGTATAATAATCAAACGAATAACATTTTAAAATGGTTTATATTCGTATTGAGATCTGTTGTAAATACAAATAAAATATTGTAATAATAATGTAGTACGATTAACAAACTTAAATAAAGTTTGGAAGAAATAACTTATTAATTGAAATAACTTATCAACTGCCTTGACGTAAAAATGAAATCTATAAATGTAGAGGACGTGGTTGCTGTATCATCAAATGCAGTGTGTAGCGTCTTTGTAATCCAAAAAGATA